CCTGAGAAACCCATGATGGAATTAGTGTTTTTATAAAAAGAGGGAAAAAGATCAAAGTGTGTGTTCTCTCTCTCCCTCTCTCTGTCTCTGACTGTCTCTGTCTCTTTCTCTCTCTCCTCTGTCTGTCTCTCTCTTTGATGCAGTGTGAAAACAACATTTCGCAAGTCAGAAAAAGAGCCTTCATTCAGGAAATGACATGAACAGCACCTTGATCTAAACTTCCTGCCCTCAAGTACTGTGAGAAATAAACATCAGCTGTTTAAGCTGCTACCTACTCTATAATATTTTGGTGTAGCAGCCCAAGCTGACTAAGATAGTGCACCCTAATGTTTGGAAATGGTTTAAGTGTGTCATTTTGTGCACTGCAGGCTTGCTCCTTAATATGGCAGCATTGAGGTGGGGGAAGGTCTTTAAATGTGGGGTCTAGCACAAGATAATTCGGTCAGTGGTGACCTTGTACTCACTCACAAGGGGTTAGTGCTGGTTTTGCAAGAGTGAGCCATAAAAAAAGAATGAGTCTGGCCTTTGGGCTTCATTCTGTGATCTCTTTCAGGCACACTGCTGCCAACTGCTGTGATGCCCTTACGAGAGCCTGTACAGATTGAGTAACCGGATCTTGAACTTTTAGCCTCCAAAACTGTGAGCTAAATAAACCCTTCTTTCTCTTCATAAATTACCCAGCCTCAGGTATTTTGCTATAACAACATAAAATGGGCTAATCCAGCAGTATGAGTATATTCGTTTATAAAGACTTACAATAGCTAATGTTTTTCACTTTCTTGTTTTCCATGAAGCATCTGTTGATCTTTGCCTAAAATGTCTCAAAAACTGCAATGAGAGAAATAAGGAGGATGCATAAAGGAGTACAAGAGTAGGGCCAGCATTAAGCAATAGATTGTTTTCGGAGATGCATTCCAGTGCCCTTTTTAAATTTTAAATCAAATTTCACAAACCAAATACCTTATGTAAAGAGCTGTAACCTCTCAGTTTGTTTTTACAAAGGCTGTATATACCTTTTCAATTAATATCTTGAAAAAGTCAGGAATTATTTACTTCACAGTTGTCTTATAAAGTATTTTCCTTGTTTCTCTAAAGCGGGAGGAAATATCTACTGCTTCTCATTAATTACCTCAGGGTTTCTCAGAATTAGGTGAATTTAACAATCGTGGGTGGTAGTTGGGGAAACCGAAAGTACACTTAGTTAAATTCCTACGTCTAGATTCCCCTGAGTCTACGGAATCAGAATTTTCAGCTGTGATGTCCAAATTAAGTCAGCTGAAGGCCATTCTGAGGGCTTCTGATGCATATCAAACCTGACACCCACAGGACCAACTTTCTCTTTGACTGATAAAAATGTTCAAGTGTACTAACTAGGAAGAACTTTCTGCAGGTGGCAGGTATCATTTAAAATGAATAGATTTGATTTATACAAATGGACACCCTTTTAAGGGGCTTGGGGCTAGGGGTCAGGAGAGGACCACTTAGCATCCTTGTTGGGCTGCCTTCCCCTCTTTGCTGGCTGTATTTCTGCCTGTGCCATGGGATGCTTGGTCTCCCAGTCTTTCTGTCCCATTGGGTTAAAATTGACATTTCAAATTTTTACAGAATTTACATTCCAAATAAATGCAATAGAGATTTCTATTTTCATGTGAAATAGCCTTTTAATAGAGTAAATAATTGTCCTTCCTCCAATATATTTGTCTTCTTACTCTGGTTACTCCATAATAGAATGATGTGTTAGAAGGATACAGTTACACATCCAAATATATGCACAGTGGGAAAACATCTAGCTTGCAAGACAGGGGCCACCCCCAAGCATGGACACTTAAGGGGCTTTGCTCTGTTTTCCCAAGGGATACCAAAATCACAATTGAACAAGGAAGGTTTAGGGAGTTCTTGTTGCTTGCTTCTTAGAGTCCACCAAGTGCTGTCTCACGCTTTGTTCTGATTTTTTCAGTGACCTTCGGGGTATGTATTCTCATGGAGGAATGAGGAAGTGGATTGCATAGGGGATCAAGTTTCTATCTGTTGCTTGACCCACTGGTGGATAGGCTTGACATTTAGAAAACAGCTTGACTTATCCAACAAAAGTAGCAGAGACTCCAAGGACCCAGCCTACCACCCTACAACATCCCAGAGACATTTATTCTATTCTGAGGTTTGCAGAATAAATTTGTTTCATGAGTCAATTAGGTCTAATAAATACATAGCAATTCAATTCCAGAAAATACAATTTTTAAATTATAGAAGACGGGTATACCTCTTAAAAAGAATATGGGGAGAAGAGGAATGTAGGAAAGAAAAACAAGACTTTCTGTGGCAAGAGTGCTGACTTCAGAATCGGGGCCATCTGGATTAGAATCCAGCCTTTCTTGCTGCGTGCCCTTGGGCAAGTTACTTCACATCAGTGAGTCTATTCTTCTCAACTGCAGAATGGGAACAATCTCAGTCTCATGTGGTGGGGGTTTGCTAACGTGTATTTTGTAAAAACACTTAGAAAAATTCTTGGCAAGAGTAGCACTCCCATCATGCATCTGAGTAAGTGTTTTTACTGCTGGCAGGGCTGCATGACGGTTACTGAGCACATCCCTTCCAGGCAAATGGGCTTGACTTTTGACCTCCTTTTGGTTTGGGGCAGAATTACTGCTATTGGCTTTCCTAGCATTCAGGCCACATAAATATTTGACAGATTGGTTGCAATCTTTTAAAAGTATTATACCAAGAAATAGATTATGGTTTTGTCTGTTTTCATGATGTAACAACTGAAATCCCCTAGTCCTTGTCCTAAGCCTAATTTAGTTTGGTAAGAATGATTTTAAAAATAACCTGAGAAACAAAGTTTATAGAAAAATAAAACTTTGCAGTAATATTTCATTATATCATCCCATTTTTTTCTGAAATACCAATGAGTAACAGTAGTTTGATATGTAAAACAGTAGTTAGCCTTTATACGGATGTCATTTTTTTAAAAAAGCTTAGCAATACTTCACATTTGGAGAAAAACACCCGTTTCCCATGTTGGATCTGATTAAAATTCAAATCTATATTAACATCTTATTACTATTTGAGGAAAGTGGCTTCCATGCTTAATGAGAAAGTCTCAGAGTCTACCAGCCTGCGGCTGCAGGCTCCTTCACCAGGCTGTCACTGTCCTGGGACCCCGGAGGATGGGGCCCCAGCCACATCCTTGTTCAAACAGTCATGGCGTGAATGCTGGCCCTGAGTTTCCTTCCTTTCCCCTCTCCCATCCCGACATTGTTTTAGCTGCCAGATCCTCAATATTTTCTCTTCAGCAAGGGAAAGGGAAGGGCAAAAATGACTCTGAAAGAATAACATTTCTTTCTATGGAGCTAAATAGAACTCTTGATGCAAAACATCCTGCGTTTCCTTTTCGTGGATAATGTGCTGCCTGTAGGGATGAATGAACTGAAAAGCAGAGCTTGATTTTCTGCTAGGTGGTGTTGGGGTTGCGTGATCCCCGATGAAGAGGACTCTGCTTGGACATTTTAAAGAACAACTATCGTCGTCCATAGATTCTAGTCTCTTATCCTGCACAGTCTGATCCCCTCTCTATTGTAGTTAACACCTTTCAACATAGGTTTATTATATTTTTTATTGATCTCTGGCTCACTTGAACACACTGGCCATAACAGAAAGTCCGCAAGAGTTAGTATGTTTGTCTTTCTCTTTGCTGTTGCATTACCTGTTTGAAAAACAGTGTCCAGCATGGAGTAAACAGTAAACATCTGCAGCATAAGCAAATGAATTCATGTCTTCCTTAATGTCCTTCTTCCTTTATAACTGGTACCTGTATGACTGCTTCTGTATGAAGGGTACCATGTGGTGTGAAATAGTCTATAAATGTTTTTGTATCTAGTAGATACACTTGGGAGCATACGTTTTTTCAAAGTTTACGTAACTTAATCGGTGAAGAAGAAATAAAAGAGTTGGATAAAAAAGCAACATTTCCCTGTCACTTTAGGTTATCTTATTGTTTATTTTTCTTCCCAAACTGACTCCCCACAACCAGTATATTTATTTTTGTTGAACTATTTTTCCTTACTAGAGTATAAAGTATTTCCCTTTTCGACTGTAATCAACAAAAAAATTATATACACTTAAATGTACAATGTTTTGAAATACATGTATATTGTGAAATGATAACTATACTCAAGCTAATAAATATATTCACTTATTTGGGTACTTATAGCATTTAAATTCTTGTACTTAGAAATATTTTATAGGAACACAAAAACTATTCTTAAATATAAAAAATATGTTTCATATTTCACTCCCAGCAACAAATTAAAATAGTGCAGTAAACACTCTGTAGACAATGCTTTGATTTCTCTGTATATTTATGCATTTTGAAACCAAAAACTGGTAATGCCAGATACAGTATTTTGTAACTTATTGTTTTACTTAATAGAGTGCAGAAATCTGTGTGTTTTGCTCACTCTGGTAGTCCCACTGATGACAACAGTGTCTGACACACAGTACACACCAACATGTATTTGCTAAGCATGTGAAAGTTTGGGTGTGTTTGCTACAGTCTGTGTTCAGGCCTGTCCTGGACTCCGTATGGACCCTATAGAATGACCAGTCACTAAGTCCTGGGTACTTCTCAGAGGAATGTTGGATGAGGAGATTAGAAAGCCAACAAGGTGATCTACAAGGTGTTAACATTGTAAGTTTTCCATTCATAGTAAAAAGACATCTATTTATTATATATACATACGTTTCTCATAGAATGGGCTACCTGTTTGACAACTGCTTGGACTTACAACGCACTACTTGGACTTATGACCCATTTTATTTTATTTTTTGTGAAGTTCTATCCATATTGTTGATACAGCCTAAATTTTTTCTTTCATAGAACACCTTATTTATACAGTACTGTAAGTTTTGTTGATTGTACTATATACATCACTGTAGTTTTTTGTTCTGTTATACACTACAGTATAGCGGGTAAGAATCATGCAAATTAAAGCAAAGTCATCAAACTGGTTTTCCTTTGACCATATCTTTGTTCTGAATATTGTAATGTACTTGCTACATAATTCCTCATTTAACGACTTAGTCTCAGGATTGAAACTCAGATATTAAATGAGGAAGCCTGTGTGTATATAGTACGGGGCCAGGGACCATCCACCAGTTTTCGGCATACATCAAAATGATTCCTAATTACTTATTGTCACATTTTTATTACCTGTGAAAGTAAAACAATGCCTGCTAACCTATAGATAATGGGAGAATAAGAAGAGGCTGACACATAGTAGCTGGTCAGTAAACGCTATCATCATCATCAACGGCCTGTTTTCCATAGGCCTGTGGACTGTTTTTAGTAAAGTTTTATTGAGCACAGCTCATTAATTTCATTATATAGTAAGTCCCTGATTTACAAACGAGTTCTGTTACAGGAGACTGTAAGTCAAACACATTTGTAACTCGGACAAAGTGGGTCTTATATCCCTTTGACACAAGTATACAACATTAAACATAAAAGATCATACACACACACATATGGCGAGTCCCCACCATTGCCCTGCACTGTAAGCACATAGCAGCACAATTGTGGTGACACCCAGAAGACCTCTGAGCTACTCCTGTGATTCTTCTCTTCTGTGCATGACCCTAATACAAGGTCTTTTTGGACCACCAAGAGTTCAAAACTCAAATGTCCACAAGTTGGGGGACTTCCTGTAGCTACATTCATGTTACAACAGGGAATTGAGTGGATCCAAGAGATTATAAGGCTTGAAAAGCCTAAAATACAGAATTTGTGTTTTTTTACAGAGAAAATTCATGAGTCCTCCTTTGGAATACTAGGCTACCATCAACCTGACTAAGCCTATGGTCCAGTATTGTGTGGCCCATGAACCAGTTTGATCCACAGACCACTTAAGATCCACAAAAGATAAGAACAGAAAATAAGAGTCAGTGTTTGGAAATTCCACGGGAATTTACTACTGAAAATAAGGGGCTCAAATATGGTTCACATAGAAGTATTGGTTGATGAGAGATTGGGGAGAAAATAAGACCTCCCCTTTCTCACTGGCATGAGATCTGGTATCTGGAATGGGGTTTTTCTGTGTCAGTAAATTAGTAAGACATGTTTGTGTTTCAGAAGGTAACATCTGGGAGCCCATCAGGGAGGGATAAGCATATTCTGAGGTTGCAAGTAACTCGGGAAGGTTGATGAGCAAGCACATTAATAACGTCACAAAAATGGGTTCTCCATGCAGATGAATGGGGCAGCCACCGTCCACTGATCAGCTAATACAGCTGTGCCGTGCGCCTCGTCTCTGAGAGCAGGCAGCCACCGCACTACCCGGTGGTTGTTGCATGCATGGATATAAATTCATTGCCTTTGAAGGAGATGTGTTTTAAGTCGGAAAATCATCTTCTCTGAATAGTAAGCCACCAACTTTCTTGGAAATTTAACAAAACAACAGTTCTAAGACCAGCCTTATGTTTTGTTACATATGCGTGTTAAAAAAAAAAAAAGAAAGAAAATGAAAAAAAAAATAAGCAGCAGACTGGTTTTTTTTTTTCTTTTTCTGTTTCAGAATCGGTTCCAAACAGTCAAGCCTGCCAGAAAAAACAGACAAACTCTCAAGAACAACAATGCCTATTATGTGTGTGGTAGGCGCTGCCAGACTTTGATTACTGGCCAGACATTAACCCCTTTGATGTCCCATGGAAGAGATGCCAAGTCTGAATCCAGATATTTCCAGAATTCTGTAGACACTTGTGATTTATAGAGACCTGCAAAACAGGACTACTGAGAAGAGGAAGTGCAAATCAAGGGCCCTGTCTCCTTGTTTGCTGAATTCTGCCACGTCTCATGCTGGCCAGCAGACACGGCTCCATCTCCTTTGCTTGTGCCTTTGTGGTGTCCTGACCGTGGTGAGAGGCACGGTGCTTGTATCCCTCCAGGGTTGGTGACCCTCCAGAGAGTGCCAAATGGTGTCTCAGGGGAAAGCCTGTAGGTACCTTGATGTTACCACTTAGAGGAAAGCTTCTGGAGAGAAGACTGTGGTCAGCTTCATCCCCTCTCACATAGCCCCGGAGTTCAACACACAGGATCCCATTCTAAGGTCTGAGCTGGGCAGAGATAAGCGCAGCTTTCAGTGCTAGGAGAGTAGGATGTGTGTGTGTACGTGTGTGTACATGTGTGTGCATTTATACACAGTGTGAGCCATTGTACACAGTGTGAGCTTATGTATTCCATATCCGTCTGTGTATTTCATTTGTTCTTTCACTTTACTCTTTGGGCTGTATTGATAGCTACTGTGGAGTGGCTGGAGATACCAAGTCAATGATAATGACTATCATTTATCCAGAACTTATTGCCTGTCAACATTATGGTAAACATTTTACATTTACATATTTTAATTCACTTAATCTTTTTCTTTAAAAAAAACTTCATAAAAAACACTTCATGAGCTAGAATCGTTTTATATATTAGTAAACTGTGTCCTAGAAAACCCACAGGCACACAGATAGTGTCACAGGTAGCACTGATCCACTTGAAGAGAAAGAAGGGGCTATCATTCAGCTATGAATGACCTTGTGGTGTAAAGAAAGTTCCAGAAGCACCCACATGCAGTGAACTCTGAGTTAAAGAGTAACTCTGTCCCATAGTATGGGGAACTCGTCAGTGGGAATTCCTCCAGGCGGTGTCTTCATTTACCAAGAAAGGGAACTCAGCCTGGGTAAGGTGCAAGTGCTGATGACTTGCAGAGAAGCCACAGGAGAGGCCAAAGCAGTCTGACTGTGCTCATGACAGTGACGCAGCATTTATGAGTTAGCTATTTCTAGAGTGAAAGATCTCTCCCCTCCTGGAAAGGAAGGTACCAACTTTAGCTGTGACTTAGTGTTTCAGGAGGGACAAAGGTAGTGACCTTTATTTGATTCTCTTCAAAGGTTTGTGTCCCCTGAAGGGCGTGGCTACCTGGTTCTTCACCTAGAGACGGGCACAGGTAAGGAAAGTGGCATCCCCGTGCCATTCTGTTCGAGGGAGCGCTCTGTCTCAAGACTGAGAGCTGAAATCACCACATATTCAGTCCAGAGAGCGTTTTCTTTTTCTCCCAGCCAGGAGAGCAGTGTGGCTCAGAGGAAACAAGAGCGATGTGACGGCCAGTGTGCCCCTGAGCTTTTGTCTGTTCTGTAAAGCAACACATACTGATGTGCCCTCTATGGATGACAAAGCAGCCTATCACAATTCTTCAAGACATTAAAGCCTACCTTTGAAACTTTGAGGGTTAACATTTCAGAGTGCAGTGATTATTGAACTCTTAAGTGTTGTACTTTTTGGTTTTGTGCATAATTTAAAACAAGTGAACTTACCTACGTTTCTCTGAAAAGTCTTCCCAGCCTCCCAATCTTTTCATAAAATGTCTCTTGTCTGGGTTTTTAAGCCTATCCTGTGGTTGAATATGATTATGGGATATTTATATGCAGCCTTGTCTATTGTATCAAAAGATCAGGAAAAAAATGCCCATCATTAAAGCCCCAAAGTGATTGGGTTGGCATGAGGAGAGAGGGGACGGGCTGGCAAGGGAGAGAGGATCCAACTCTAGGATATCATGAAATCAAAACAATAGGACAGCTGCTCTCCCATAAACAGATTATTATTATTATTTCTACCTAGACAGCTTGATAGCAGCTATTATCTCCTTTCTGGGTGTCTTATCAAGTTCTGCCTGTGTGCAGCATGGGAGATAAGGAATGAGAAATGTCACCCGTGGGATTGCCAAGGATTATTTCTATGCACTGCTGTTCCGCAAGAGCCAGTCCCTCAGATCTGAAAAGGGATCCTATTGTTCATGCTGGGCAGTGGCTCTTCTCACTACAACCAAGAGAACAGAAAGAGGATGTCGTCAGTATTGCGGGCAAGATTGAAATTGCATTACTCTCAGCTAAAGTGCAAGCAGTCGATTTTCAAAAGAGAAATCATGGAACATCTTTGAAGAGGGAGAAGACGAGAAGAATTAAAGAAGTTCAAAACTTTTCAGAACAATGAGGGCATTTAAAAAACAAAGGACTTAATATTTGCAAACACTGGGACTTAAAATGTCAAGCATAAAAATCTCAGAGGCTTGAGTAGTGTCATGTAACTTGTGATCCAGTTGCTTCATGTAAACATGTCATCCTGCCTTACCCCTCAGGAAATAGTTAATTTACTCGAATTCTGTTTCACTGTCTCTGGTTCACATTAAGCTCCTGAATCAAATTAATCAGTTGCTATTGAAATTCTTTTCTACTCAATTAAAAAATAAATATTTTATTATAAATACGATGGTTCTAAATATTTCAGAAAAATATGATCTCTTTGTATTTTTAATTTAGCATCTCAGCTTTCCAACCTTTTGTCTGCTTAGAGAAAAGACTGCTCTAGGAAATAATGCAGATGAAATGTGTGATTAACCCACACTATGTTCATATGGAATTCCCGACAAAGTGTTCTGAGTGCTTCAGACTTTTTTTTTAACGCAGTTTTAGGGTCATGCTGATATTTTAATGTGAGCTTCTTGGAAGAGAGCCAATTCAAAGTTTCTTCTAACATTTTAAATCACCATTCTGAAACTGGTATCTCAAATGAATAAAGTACTTTGCTCTTAAGCCACAGCTTCAGAAATGAGATCCTAGTTGTGGAAGGTGATTGAGACAGCCAAGGGCAAAGAGAGGATACAGAGAAGCAAGGAGGACAGTGTCAAAAGAAAGGGATTTGATTTCCTTGTGTGACTTCAGGAAGGCAAGACCCTGGTCCTTGTGTTTCTACAGCACCTCATGTAAAGTGCTCAGGAGATGTTTGTTAAATGAATTAGTGAGACCTATACAGGAAAATTGTTTTAATGCAAAACATTCCAGGGAACATCATCTCAACTAAACAAGTTGTCTTAGTTTTTCAGCTATTAAGCATTTAGTAGGCAGCCTAAATCATTTCCAACTTTACCACAAATATGAATTATGTGGGGCACTTGCTAAAAATATTGACTTTGATTCAATAATATTGGGATAGAGTTCTAGGTTTTGTTTTTTCTATCAAGCTCTTAGGATACCCAAGGAATATATGGCTTATATTCTGAGGAGCAATGTGCTAGAACCATGCACGGAGGCTGGGCTAGGACTTGTGAGCTCTGAGTTCTTGTCCGTGACTTTAACTGTCTGTGATTTTAAGCCAGATAACTACCTTTCTAGCTGCAGTCTCCCATCTACATAACATGTGGGCCTGATCTCTATAATTTCTGAGGTTCTTGCAGGCTTAAAATTTTAAAATTAAAGTAAGAGAAAACTTAGAGAATGCCCAGTCTAACTTTATCATTCCAAACCTATGGAGCCTGAATCACTCCTTCTTGTATTTCCACAGGTTTGGCATTTGAATTATGTTTTAGTTGATTTCTTAATTTCTGGCAGAGTCATTTTTCTCTATCACTTCTTTTAACATTATTAGTTTTTTAAAAAATAAAATGCCTTACAATTTGCGTGATACAGTGTTGTGTTGAAAATATAGAGATGAATAAATTATTATAATTTTTACTGAATATCTTGCTTGATTAACATGCCCTAAGGTGACAGTCAAGAAATCCATGCCAGTGCATAATGCATGTTGGTTTGCTAGGCTTTTCCTTCTCTATGATGTAACATGTTAATGGCTATAGTAAATGCATTGTAAGCATGATTTCAGTTCGCCAGCTCGCTCTGTATATTCATTCTCTTTTCTACCTGAATTTGTAGCTTACACATCAAAAGGTTGCATTTCTTTCTCAGTCTTTTGACTCCAGGCTGGTCTTGTGACTTTTGGTAGCCAAAGAAGGAACAGCCTGTCACCTGTAAGTTCAAGCCTCAAGAGGCTTTGTCCTCTTTTGCTTCCCCTGTTGGACTTCTGCTGTTTCCCTAAGAACAAGACTGGAGAAACTCCCTGGGAGAAGGATGGTAAGAATTGACAGGTGTGCCAGCTGAGGCCAGCGTAGACCAGCATACATCTAGTCAGTGTGAAAGTCCAACCAAGAGGAGCACACAGAGTTGCTCACCCAACTCTCAGCTGGCTGCAGAATCACCAGCGAGCTCAGCTGTGTCTGAACTGCCCAGCTGACCCATGCACTTGTGAGCAGCAGTAAGTGATTGTTAATGTGAAAGAGTTTGGGGTTGCTTTGTTATGCAGCACAGTCGGGTGATAAAATGGCCTTCTGAACACAGAATTATAACCCAGATAAATGGATCTAGTCTGGATTTTCTCCTGAAAACCGTAGGAGAGATAGTGGGAGGTGACATAGGCTTTACTGCTTCTATAATTTGACAGAAGGGAGAGGCTTAACTCACATGTATTTTTTCTTTTCTTTCTTCCTTTCTTCCTTTCTTCTTTTTTTAGTTTGCAGATAATAGATCTTCTCAGTGAAGGAGATGAATTCCGAATTTGGTGATTAAAGATCAAGGTAACATGCATATATATTCCTTTAAGCATAGAAGACAGGGTTAAGGTTCTGATATGAGAAAAGAAAATGAAGGTTCTAATTCTGATTTTGACCTATATGTATATTATCTTGAGATTCAGTCTTTTTCTTGGTAAACAGATGTAATTATAGCCACTTGTCTTCCTTCAAAGGTGTTTGTGAGAATAAACACATGTAGTAAATACAAAAATTCCCTATAAAATCCTCAGTGACATACTGTTATTGCTTTAAAAATTGTACTCAATTTGTTCTATTTTTATATAAGTATATAGTGTTCAAGCAGTTATAATTCCTCTTATAAGTATAATAATATCATATATATAATATATATATTTCACAATTTTCAGGTTGCTTTTGTATAAAGTGTCTCTAAGGATGCCCTGAAAAATAGGTTTTTATTTTCTTATTTTGCACATGAAGGACCTCTGTTGTCTTCTAAATGGTCGAATTTATAAAGCTGAGATCATAGACAGATTTTGCTAAGATAAGAATATCATATTGGGGTTCCCTTTAAAAGAATCAAATTTGTTGAATAAATCAGATCCTTGGCTTTTATTGTCTAGTATAAACTCACCTTAGCATTATAATCTTTTCATTTATCCCAATTTATTATTTGCTTATTTATGTTATTTATTGTAACTGCTCTTATTTTATGGAAATGACATTTTTTCCCCCCAACGACATTCTAAAAAGGAGAAAATACAATGGTTACTGTGAAATTGTATCTTGGCTTACTATTTACTTACTATTCTTAAGCCACTTGGTTGTCTACTTGATGATGTTAATGGGCTTGAAGCATAATTAAATCAGAAGTTTGAGCCAATCATTGTTGTTAAGGATTGTATACTTCCTTGGTTGGTGACGATCTGGATTCAGAGTGCAGGGGTTTCTTTCTGTAATGTACACCGTTGCCTATGAACCTGGTGAATATTGTCTACCTCCTGAGCACTGATTTCAGTTTAACCTAACAGAATGAGTGTCATTTGTAGATTGTTGTCCCTAGTGTATTTAATGTTAAGTGTTACAGTTAATTTAATTACTTTTCATAACTTCTGGTTGCATCATATTTTAACACATGAAAAGTAGCGGCTATTGTGACCATATTTGCAACTTTTGCCATTTATCGAGAATTTACTACATGGGAGCCAACATTCTAAGTCTTTTATTTGGACTAATCCATTTAATTCTTGTAATGCTTCTTAAAGATGAAATCTGTTATTATCTACAATTTTAGATGTGGGAACTGAGGCACAGAAAGATTTAACAGATTTCCAAAAGTCAAATAGTAGAGGACAGAGCTGGATTTTTAACTCAGGACATTTGAGTAGTAAATTTCTGTGCTGTACAACTCTGTATTTCTTGTACCCTCAGCCTCTCTTTAGGTCAGATGTCAAAAAAATTATATGCATCAATCTGGCCATGATAGTGGCCCATTATTAAGAATTGTATTTACAAGTAGGTACTATGAGTCCCTTGTGGATATCTAGCAATCAACATCCAGCAAGATATTTCCTTGTGTACCAGACATATTAGAGAACATGAAAGAAATGGAAGAAATAGTTCCTCTTAACAAACTTGAAGATTTACAGGAGAGGGCTGTCTTTCCTGGAAAGAAGGAGGAAGATGGAAGAATAGAATCAATTCTGTAGGGCCTTATAGTCATAGCAGGGAGGCAATTGACAGCAGCCTGTGAGTTTATTTAAAGACACCATCATGATTTTAATTGGATCTGCCTGGCTTTGAGACCTGGGTATGTTTGCCTCTAAACTCAGTTCCTCCATTTGAAAAAGCTCTAGGCCCCTCCACAATTTCTTCTCACAGTCCAATTGGCTACATGTTATGGTAGATAATGATCTCTTCACATCAACCCAAATGTAGAGCTCAACCCCTTTGTAAGTTTCTGTAAAAAATCCAATCCAAGCTACATATGGGCTGAAGCATTCATTTGATGACGTCCTAATGTCTAATACCTCAGATTGTGACCTCAGGCAGCAGCAATGTTTTTCATATGTAGATAGTTAAGATGGGGCCATACTCTGATAGGGTAGGTCTCTAACCAGTATGAATATTTTCTTAAAGAGAACAAACTTGCCCACAGCAGAGTACTGCTTTTATACACATCAAATAATGCCGTAGAATCAGCAAACTAGCAGAAGCCAGAAGAGAGGCCCAGAAGACCACTTTCCTTCAGTGCCCTGAGAAGAGACCTTTCCCCCAATACTATGATTCTGGATTTTTAGGCTTCAGAACTGTGATAATAAATTTCTGTCATTTCAACCACTGAATTTGAGGCTTTTTGCTTTGGAAACCCTAGAGAATCAATGCAATACTAAGTATTTCTGAAATTAGATGGATTTTACTGAGGCTAAAATCTGGGAGAGGAATTTCATGGAGAGGAATCCCATGGCATAGCTCCTGACAGTGTCTCTCAGTTAAACTATCCCACCTCCTCCTCTGCTTTCTCTGGTTCCAAACTCTTCCATCCAGGTTAATTCCCAAGTATCTATATTCAAATTTGTTTTACTGTATTTCTTTTTCAGAGTAACACTTTTCTTCCTTTGAAGTTGTGGCAGCAATCAACATTCAGATCCTGAGTTTTAATGATTGCCCACCCATTCACCAAACTACACATCTGACACAGCTGGTCCATCCACTTAGGGAGATTCCTGTGCAGTGTTACAATCAAGACATTTTCTGAATGGCCTGGTTTTAAACCTTAGCTGTGCTACTGCTTAGTGATATGAGCTCGAGTACATTCATCTCTGCAGGATGAAGATGATAACACTACCGCATGGTAACAGTGAAGGTCAGTGCTCCCCCAACAGGCTCTAAAACGCCCACCTGTGCACAGAGGGCCACCTGAAAAACTCTCAAGACCAGCAGTATAGGGAGCAAATGCTCATGATGGGGTGGAGGGAGAAGCTGGGCTGTGAAGCAGCCGCCTTAGCAGCTTCAGTCCACCTCATGAGGAGATGGAGACCTTGTCCCCTCTCCCCATCACCAACGAGTCTTAGGAAGGGGATTATAACCTTAAGTGAGATGGTTCTCTTTGGCTCAAAGCAATTCCTGTAGAGCGAATCACTCCATGCAGTGAACTGCCTGCCCGTAGTGTCTTGAGTAGTGGGGGAAATAAGTCTAACCTTTTAGGGGACACTTCATAGCATGTTCTACAGTACTGTGGGCATCAAACAAGACAGGATACAGGACATGCTTGGAAGGATGCCTGGTGAGTGGAAAATGATACATGAATGACAGCTGTCACTATACTCAAGACTCATGTTAGCATGATTGCATGTTGTGCAGAAGAGTGTACTGTATGAAATAGTGTCATAGATTTTGCTACTAATAAATAAAGTAAGTGAGGTGGAAATTTAATCTATGAGACTTTATTTGAAGAAACTAAGCTTCAAGCATGTAAATAACTTATCTAAGGTTACCTAGTTAGTGGGGACATGGTCCTATCCTATTTTCAATTTATTCTCTGAACTTGTTCCACAGCTTGATTTTGAAGTCACAGGTACACATATGTACACTCACTGTCACCCACCCTAATTCGAGGTCCATTTTAAAGATTTTAAGATCTACAATGTTCTAATGTAGAGCAGATTGCAGCATTAATGATTTTGCTGCTGTCGACCTCCTGTGCACTATACCAAAGCTGCAAAGAAGCCCCAGGGGAGTGCTGGCCTCACTCCAGACAAGGTTGACCAGTTGACTGCAAGAGCCTTTGTGAAGCAGCCTTTGCCTTCGTAGACCTTGTGTTACTGTGTAAATCTGATCGTTCAGACTGAAGATCTGATTTTTGTGTTCTCCAAGGTACAAATTTTTCAGGAACGAATGCACTGAAAAATTAAAAAACAAAAAAATATAACCATGAGTGTTATGTCTGAATGCTACTTTATTAAGTTGCCAAAGTAATTGAATTTCCAGAACTTCTTCATAGGCAAATGCTTAGGAATCCAACCAGAGCAATGGGATTTGGCTAATCTTTAGAAACACACATATCTCAGATAAGATACCCAGGAGCCCTTTCCTCTTCTATAGGATTACAGGCCAAACCTGCCCCTGTGCTTTGCTTGGGATCAATACCCTCTTTTCACCTGTTGGAGGTTGTAAATGCACTGTTAGGTTTTGTCCCTGGGACCTTCATTTTTCAATAGTTGTTCAATTACTCCATTAAGATCATCACATCAATAACTCTAATGACTTTACAAGGAATGGCCAGATGGCAATTCTGCTTCCTTGGAGAAATTTTGCATAACCTGTGCTGATTCTGTAGTCTTGTTCCAAAGGGTGACATTTTGCTTTCATTTAGAGGGACAGCAGAGTGAGCAGAGTGTGAACCTCAGGCTTTGAACATACTAGCTTGGCTTCTGTGAACAGAGCAGCCTGGGCCAAGTTGCTTTCACTGGCTGTACTTTTGCTCTTTATCTAAACAACAGAGATAATGCAATGGTACAGACTTTGTAAGGTTGTTGAAGGGTTAAGGAACTAATTTATATAAAGTACTTTGATGACTGGCTGGAAGATGCCATAACTGAAGCATAATAGTTATTGTATATATGGCAAAATTCCTAGTGAACATTTATGGAGCACTTGTACAGTCTAGGTATTATTAAAAGTCTCTTAACCAAATACCAAGTGACCCTTCCAAACCTCAGGAAGGTGAAAACTACTCTGTGTCTATTTTACAGACAAAGAAATGGAGACCCAGAGGTCAGGAAATATGGCAAAGAGGCAGAGCAGAGGAGCTGGGTGAGTCAAGCCTGCTACCTCTGAACACCGCTCATGGCTTACAACCCCGCAAGAAAGCATCAGTGCTGCTCTGGGATTGGGGATTCTTTCCTCCGTAACGTGGTCTTTCCTGTTGGTGTCTTACAGTGCTTCTTTCAATCCCGCAGGAAGAAATTAGATCTTTTTCATGCATTTATTCATGTATCATTGAAAGCTTGTTACACACAAGGAATCACCTCACTTCTAGGGTACAGCAATCAACAAAACTGATGTGATCTCAACCCTCATGGAGTTTACCTTCTATTGGAGGAGGAGGAGGACAATAAACAAGGCTATAAATATGCAATACCATTCCAGGAAGTTATAAATGCAGTGAAGAGAAGTAACACAGAAGATAGAGAATGTCAGAGATTTACCATTTTGGAAGTGGGTATGGGATGTTGAACCTAGTGGCTGTGCACTGAGCTACATCCCTACCTTTTTTTTTTTTTTTTTTAAATTTTGAGACAGGGTCTTGCTAAATCACACAGTTGCCCAATCTGGGCTCAGATGTGCAATACTCCTGTCTCAGCCTTCCACGGTGCTGGCATGACAGACAAGGGAGCTTCTATCATAATTGAGAGAGTGAAAGAAGGCTGCTCTGAAGAGGGAACGCTTAATTGATGTTGTTTTTTTCACCACCAAAAATATGATCTCTTTTAGAAGGCAGTGCTTTGGTTTTTTTTCTTTCTCTCCTACGTGATTTTGGATTTACGGTACCCAAAAGAAGCCTGCATGATGAAAAGAGAAATAGGACCGTGAACAATGAATAATAGCTAGAGACTTACGTCTGACACAGGGAACAAGGCCTGAGTGTCTGCCGGGGGTGTAATAAGATACTGCAGTGAGATTTCCCCTTGGCTCTTTGCTTTTCAAGGCTCAGTGACTTCCCAGCCAAGAAATACAGGCTGTCCCCTTGCTACTATGTTGTCTGTGGCTTGCATTTTCATTGGCCAAATATATTTCCATCCCCAGTCCACCGCAGGGAGCCTTGAGCTGCTTTCTTTTTCTCCAGGAACTTTACAAATAGACAGGAATGCATCTGTCTCCCGAATATTCTGCAACTGCCTACAGCAGTGAAGGTCTTTCTTGAAAAAATGTGTTAGTATGAATTTGCAGTGCGTGGTGATTCCATTTGTCATGGCGAGTTGGTGCCTGTACATAACACAGCTGAATTCTTTTTTATGCTTCTACCCTTTCTTTCCCTCCCTGCTCCTTTTATTTCTTGGTCCTTTTCTTATTTGCAAAAGTTCTTTCTCCATTTTTCAATTATTTTTTGTCCCTCCTCCTTTCCCTCCCCGTTGCCGTCTCCATCTGTTGTTTCTCACCTCTCCATTGGAAAAAGTCCTATTTCCTATTATCTGTTTTTGCTCTTCCTTTATAGTTTGAGTTTTTCATATGGGAGAAATCAGAGGATTTATTTCACTTAACATTATAGTTTTAAGATGCATTCATTTACCTGCAAATGATTCAAGCTTACTCTTCTTTATGGCAGAGTTGTACTCCATTGGGTGTAACTACCACATTTTTAAAATTTATTCCTGTTGATGGGCATATAGACACTTCCAGGACTTGTCTGTCAAAAATTGTGTTGCTATAAACGTGAGTATGCAAGTATTGCTGTGGTATAATGTCTTTCAGGACAATCCCAGGAAGGAGTATAGCAGTGTTAGATGGAATTACTATTTTAGATTATTGAGGGATCTCCCTGCTGAGTTCCACAGCAGCTGTACCAGTTTGCATTTCCACCAGCAGTGAAGAAGGGTTCCTTTTCCCCAGCACAGAATCTACGTCGAGCTCTCTCTGCATCTCGTCTCCTGTGGCTGCCTCTCTCACGGTCACATGTAGAGTAACAGAAAACGCTGTGGGGAGGCTGGAGTGTGGCTATCCTGTGACTTAGCCCCATGCAATCAACAGCTTCCCCAAATGAGACCTGATTAAACTCTCTCTGGTCATCGCCTGGCACGGCATGGAATTTCTTCCCCATCTCTATCCTGTAGTCACTTGCAAGGTAAAACTCCATGCTGCCTTTGCAGCTGACAATAGCTGTGGGCTTCCTTTGTGCTGGCACTGCCAACCCATTTGCTGTTTTAACCTTAAGCTGCCGAATCTCCTCAGCCTGCCTTCTCTTTTTGAAATTGGCCTCTTTCTCCATCAGGTCAGTTGGCTGATCATTGCCTCTGGCCCTGCTAAGGGGAACCAAAAGGCAGAGCCAGCCAGGAGCTGATGATCTGACGGCTGTAGGTGTGGAATCCACAATGTTAGAGTTGGCTGGGGCAGGATGCAGGAGCTGCTGTTGCCCTTGTTGAGCTGTCTCAGGCACCTGCACCAAAGATCTTCAAAGCCAAAACCATAAGAGGTTGAATTCCAAAACTGTACTTATGTCAGGTGCAGCTTCCTAATTCCATCACCTCCCACCAACTGCTAAAAAGAAGTAGGTTTTCTCAGTGAATGAAATGTAAATGGAAAGCAGAGACTCTTTCTGTTTTCTTGGTAACTGGAAGGAGAGCATGGGTATTTTTTCAGAATTTACTCATATTGTTTGTCTTACAGTCTTAGTAGACATCAGATGAAAAACCAGATCCCTTCCCAATCAATAAGAAAGCTGAAGGCTGACTCTGCAACTGTAGGCGGCTTCAATAAGTAGACTTAACCAGGATGGACTTAAGCCGTAGTAGGAAACATTAAAGTGTTATCTGCAACTTTTACTCAATTAAACCACTTTGTATTTCAGTGTCAATATTTTGAATTTTTCGTTGAGTCTCTCAGTCTCCAACAGGCCCATCAATGAACTGGAGAAAGCATGTAGTGACACATAGTGAGGATGGAGGTGACAGTGGAGGAGTCCCACTTGGCCTTCCCAGACCTGTTGAACTTTGTTGGGTTGTTGTCAATTATAGCACGCTTTTAAAAATTCTAATCAGTCTCAAAGTGCAGTCTTCTTCTGTCCTTTCCTTCCTTCCCAGCATCTCTGCTTAACTGCCTGCATATTGAAACACTGCAGCACACCCAGTCAGATGCCAGACAGGGCTGTCTGGGTCTCTAAAATTACCCACCCAACTGCCATTGATTAAAACCATCCCTTGGAGCCCATCCAGAATCCCAACTTGGAAAGCCCGAAAGAAGTATGTGATTCTCTTTATAGACTGACATGTAAATTATGAATTGGATTTTTAATGAAAGACCTTTTAATATTTTATTACTTAGTCTGGCAAGAAATAATAACTTCAGGATGGGACGTAGGTATGCCTCCCTCGCCATGGAGCCATGCCAGGGGCTGCTCATCCATTTGTGTCCTCCCTGGCATGGGTCTGGTCTGGGTCTCAGAGCACCGTGCAGCATGGCATGCCAGGTGTCCACTGCCCATTGTCATAGTAGCCTACCGTTGCCATCTCTGTCCTATGTGACATTCTGTTTACCTTCCTACAGATGTAATGGCGGGAAACCAAGGCATGATATACCTGAAAGACAATCTATTTACAAGAACTAACAGATTTAGTAGTATAATCACCTTACCTGTCTTAGGTGTATACATACATAAATTTAGAATAGTTGATACTTATTAGGTCAACTTTGCACATCCATATCTGGTAACCTAAGCAACACTTTTGAAGGTAACAATATTCAGTTGCACAACCATTGTTCGATTCCTATCACCTTGTTTTTAGACCCTGTACTGTTGTTGTTGTTTTTTCTCATGCTTTTTGTTTTTCTTTTCTGTGTCTTTTCTCCCTATAAATAAATAAAAAATAATCTCTTTAAATGAATGAAACCACTGAATTTGCGTAATCAGGAAGGCATAGTCATCTTTGCTTAGGTACACCAATCTTGAAGAACACTTCTTAATGAAAACTAGAAATGTATGTATCAGAACAGATTCTGGGGAAAACTTTAATGGTGAGAGTTCTCTTTGTGTGACTTTCAGAAAATGTAATTTGACTAGGTTGGAGTTTGGCAAAGGCGAGGGGAAGCTCTAAAGTCTAAAAATTATAAAACTGATTTTTAAAAGCTTGGTGGCTGTACAGAGAAAGAGATGAGAGATAAATTGAGTCAGTTCTTTTCTCCCACTCCCCTCCATAATAAAACAGTTGCATTTAGTATTTATGGCCATTAACTATGCCTTGCATATGGAGAGGGTCTCCACTCATAAGTTTTATTTGTGTCAAATTATGTTCTGAGATTTTCTGAAGAAGGCAAAATGAGAAAATTGAAATGAATTTTGAAGTCAAAAGTCTCTTTGTGGTCCTTGGTGTTGCCAGTGGTACTTGTCTGAAGAAATTTTGGAAAATAATTTACTATCTTGGAGTCTTGGTTTCCTCAGGAAAACGGCTGGCAGTAATAAAAAGGTAGTAATATTTGTTTTTCGTGGCTTTTATGAGATTAAATGAGTGCACTTTTCTGGCAACACTTGAAAACATAAAGCACTGAAAATATGGAAAATTTTTGGTAAATGATAAGTAAAATACTTATAAAAATCCAAAGCACACAGCATTCATTGCTTCCCAGCAGTACTGTTATGAATATTTTTAAAATGTTGACTAAAGTTTTAAAATACAGAGATTTCCATATTTTGTTTCATATAAAGGGACTATTATAAAATTCAAGTAATGTCTTATAATATTCCTGTTTCCTCTGAATTTCTCAGCTGAGATAACATTATGTGGGAATTGCTGTGGACTCACAAACACTTCTAATTGCCTTTTATTATGAGGAGTGTGTGGTCACTATCAATTTCGGTCCATGTGAGGGATGGGCACAGGCCACGGCCTATGAACTTTGGAAAAATCAGCCATGTCTTATCTTCAGGTTTGTCTAAAATTAAATTTGGATTTCAATTTGGTGCTTTTGTGGTTCAGTAGTAGCCAAATAAACTTCAACATGTTTATTGCTTAGACTAGGGCAATGGGCTGATTAAACCCTCACGATCCTCCTACAAAAGAACCGCATCCCTCACAGGATTTTTTTTCAATTCTTTTTTTGGTAGGATATTTATGAACACAACTGACTTTCACTATTTGCTCTGCTGAAAGAGCTCAGGTGCAGATTATTTGATGTGAACAAATCGTACTGGGAGGTATACAGCCATCACATTGAGAAGACATTTAAACTTTTAAAAGTATCTTCAGCAAAATATTATTCCACTGAGAACTAAGGAAAAGCATCGCCCTCCTATATTCCCACCCAGCTCTCCAGACTTTGATGATGGATCCTGACTCTGTCCGTGTTTGTCACTGGTGCCATATTTATTTTTTTGTGACGTTTGGGGTGTTTTATCAGCATATACCCTGTACTCTTTCACCGTCTGGGCCATTAGATGATAGACGACACTTTCCTGGAAGGACTCCTGAGGATTTTAGGGGCTGC